TTGTAAAATTACAATTGTTTTGCAAACCAAAGGATGAGCAAAATTACAAATCAGTGTATGCCAATACAAAATTATAATACAATTTGAGTAATCTTCCAAGACATGTTGGGAAATCTACTAAGATAAGTTGTAATTTTACAATCTATATGTATAAATCCTACACGCATTGTAATTTTACTAAACAGTTTGACAGTTTCCAATAAAAAGCATCTCAGATTTACAAACGTTGTTTGTAATTTGATTTGCTATAATGTTACGTAAAATGCATAGTATGTGCCGATTGCGGCAATCACGTGATGTTCTTACATCTCGCCTCGGTTGACTTAGGTGGACAGTATATAAGCTCAGGTGTCTTTCGTTTTTGGCGTGTTCCATGGAACAATACACCAAATTGCCCGATATTGATAAGACCCAAAATAGGTCTACCTGTCTAGCCGTCTGTCGGTATTTGAAACAAAAACTCTGACGAGGTGAAGGTTCAACTTTTTTAAATCTTTACAGTCTTGGGTCAAAAAAGTTTCTTGAAACTAAGAAAATTGCAGGTTTTTTTCATAGTATAATTAAAATACCATCATTCGTAAATTACTAAAAATTTGTTGTACAAAATAACAATATTTTTATTGTAATATTGCGAAACGAATTTTCTTTAGTTCGGTGAAATTGTAAAATATATTTTGTAATTTTCTTGTATAGTATAATTACAATACATCATTTTAAAATTACTAACATATTTAGTATTTTTTTTTAGCAAAATTACAATGTTACTGACAAAATTTTTAATAAATGCTTAGTGAATTTCAACAAACGCCTTGTAATTTTCCCAAATTGAGTTTTTTACAAAACTGAGTTTTATTATTATTTTTATTTTAAAAAATTTTTCGTAAAATGACTATTTATTGAGATAAGTTTTTAGTTCAATTTTTTTTTAAATAGGAAATATTTTAGAATGTCAACTTAGGCTAACTGTCTTAAGAACTGAAGCTAAATATAACTTTCAACTCACAAGATAAAAAATATATTAAAACACTTATTGTTCACGAAAAGCCCAAATCAAGATCAACAGTTTTAGAGTCACTGTAATAGTTTTCATGACTTGCCCGATTAAAAATCACCGTGAAGGACGAGATCACGTCAAACGCAACGAAGACGGCGATGAAACGAAAAAAAAAACACGGCGTTCGACTTTTGTTTTTTTTTCTTATTCTTCTTCTTCTTCTTCGTCGATACGCCATCGCGTTCCTCTCTTCCGAACAAAAGAAATTACCACACAAATCACCTGCAGGTTCATTTGTTATTTTGACATGTCCCGATGCATATTTCGAAACTCGACGGTAGTAATTTACTGTCAATACCGAAGATAGGCGATTGTTTTGACGAGATGACAAGATAAATCGTGATTTTGAATAACGGGATTTTGTTTGTTAGTTTTTTTTTCAAATGAAGATTGTAGAGGATTTAATTTTCTTTCAAATGATGTGTAATTTGTACGGATCCGAAACAATTAAACCCCTTTAATCAAAGCTAGCTTTGAAAAAAGTGTTTAGTATAATATCTTCATTGTTTTTAATATTTAATATGGCAAGTGGGGTGTCAAACTTAAAGAAATTTAATTTTCTACAACTTTAATGGAAGTTTCGAAATTTTAAATAAAAATGTATTTTTTTAATAATCTTGTAAAGAATTTAAATTTCTTTAATATAAATTATAAAATAACCCCCTTTGCCCTGTAATAACCTTAAAAATTACAAAAATCACTTTTTGTCTAAGAAGGCCATGGAATAATGTTTTTTCATCATAACTCTCTTGTTTTAAGAGCAAACCCTATCGAGTAACACCTCATTTAAACGGAAATCGAATTTCCCATCGAATAATGATTATATTTTGACTGTAAATCATTTATCATCCTAAAAAACAATTCTCAAAAACCCCTGGAATTCATTTTTCATAATCGCTTGGCGTTTAGATGCCTTCAACTGCTTATAAATATTTAATGAGCGAAGGATTTTCTTCAGTCGGCTTGACTGCTATGCTAATTTTATAGTTGTTTCAACTTATACCAAGACTACTAATTATCATCTTTAGAACATTTCGTAAAATAATTGAATTATTTTCAGATTGTTTATCGACTTAATATTTATTTAAAGTCGACTTGAACTAACTGTTTAAGGCATTCACAGAGATTTTATTAAAATTTATTTATACCCCACGCAACTTCTACATAAAAACCGCATAAAATATTTTAAGAGTATAAAAGAATAAAAACTCTTCAAAACCATGTATAATTTGTAGTACGTATGTTGAGGATAACGCTAGAAATAAGGAAAAACGATTTAAGTCTTGGTGTGCCTTGGAAATTGCTTTTTCGTGGATATCTTTGTTATTTTTAGTACTAGATAGGGCAAGTGGGGTGTCAAACTAAAAGATTTTTTATTTTCTATTAACCACCTTAATTTTAATTTTTTTTAATTAATTAAAAAAACATACCTACTATATCTTGTAGAGTATTAAATACCCTATACAATGATACATAATTTGCCATATTTACTTTTCAAACAACCCTAAAATCGCCAAAACAACATTTAATCGAGTTAGCCTTGATTTCAGCATTTTCGCCTATATCTCTCCTATTTTTTTCAACAAAACCCATCGAGTGACCCCTCATTCGTCAGGAAATCCAAATCCCCACCCGATTCACACCAGAAAAAACTCGAAAACCCAAAACATGACAAATCAAAAAAATTTAATTTGCTTCCAACAAAAGCCGGCCTGCGTACAACACGGGCTACCTGATGCGCGAGATACGATGACAATGGAACATCGACGAGAAATAATCGAGAAAACGCTACTCATTGTTCTGTCGAATTAAATCAGCGGCCGAAAAAATGTTTTGTGTTGTAACTTTGAGAGTGATTTGGATGGAGTAATGAAATTTTGGTGTGTTGTGGAGATGGGCGGAGTTAATTTTTAGTGTGAATTTTGAGTTAAAATTGGTTGAGGTTTTTGAGATATTGGTGTTGTAATTTTAGGAAATTTTATAAATCCATGTTTTGTTAAAAAAATGTCTGGTTTCTAAGACATATACAAAGCAAATTAGGATTTAATTTTTTTAATTGTATACTGTTAAAAATGTTTGTAAAAAATTACTACATTTTTACTAAGCAGTTGCATTGCAATTTCAATACGCATTTGTTGTAATATTACATTTTGTTATAGCTAAAGTATTAAACAGATTTAAATTTTTCAATGTTTTTGTTTTTATCAGATACTTATTGTAATTTTGTAAAATTTCTATACATATTCGGAATTAAATTTTACTAAAATAATCAATAAAATTACTAACCAAAATTTGCAATTTGAATTACAATAAGTGTTTGGAATACAAATTATTATTTATTTTATCCAACTTCTGTTTGCATTTTTACTATATATCATTTTAATTATGTACACTGATAAATTTTCTTGTAAAATTACAATTGTTTTGCGAAACAAAGGATGAGTAAAATTACAAATCAGTGTATACCAATACAAAATTATAATACAATTTGAGAAATCTTCCAAGACATGTTGGGAAATCTAGATAAGTTGTAATTTTACAATTTATATCTATAAATCCTACACGCATTGTAATTTTACTAATAAAAAGCATCTTAGATTTACAAACGTTGTTTGTAATTTCATTTGCCATAATGTTCTTACATCTCGCCTCGGTTGACTTAGGTGGACAGTATATAAGCTCGGGTTTCTTTCGTTTTTGGTGTGTTCCAATACACCAAATTATCCGACATTGATAAGACCCAAAATAGGTCTATCTGTCTAGCTGTCTGGCAAAAACTTTGGCGAGGTGAAGGTTCATTTTTTTTAAATCTTTACAGTAATGGGTCAAGAAAGTTTCTTGAAGAAACTAAAAAAATTTCAGGGTTTTTATCGTAGTATAATTACAATACCATCATTCGTAAATTACTAAACATTTTTATTGTAATTTGTTGTTCAAAATAACAATATTTGTATTGTAATATTGCGAAACGAATTTTCTTCAGTTCAGTAAAATTGTAAAATATATTTTGTAATTTTCTTAAACTGAGTTGAAATGAATTGTATAGTATAATTACAATACACCATTTTAAAATTACTAAACATATTTAGTATTTTTTTTAGCTAAATTACAATACTTGTATAGTAATGTAATTGAACAAATTTTTAATAAATGTTCAGTGAATTTCAACAAACGTTTTGTAATTTTCCCAAATTAAGTTGTAATGAATCGTGTAGTGAATTTACAAAACTAACTTTTATTATTACTATATTCTAAACATGTTTAGTAAAATTACAATAGAAATTTTTAACAATACAAATTTTAAATTGTCTAGGTTTGATAACAATACATGAATCTACATTAGTATATCCAAAATTCACTATTTACTAAAATAGTTTCGGAGATAAAAACAACAAAAAGTCCCATCAACCAAAAAATCCTGTCTCAGACATCACCGCGGTTTTACACACACACAAAACATCAATGCGACGCATTGTTGCCACATTTACCGGGCACTCGTATCGTAGAGAGCCGTGCGACGCCTCTCAGGCCCCTCCCCCACTCACGCCGACCAATAAGAGCGCATGATTCGTGATTTCCCCTCATACATCGTTCCTTGGTTGCGCACTCTACGATTTTTCGTATTGGAGATGAGGTTTAATCGACGGGCTGCTTGATGTTACAACGAAAAATGGCTGTACGCGAGTTTTACACAAAATATAACTTTTTTAAATTTCGTATCTAGTTATATAGTCTTTAATGGTCGATTTATTTTGAAGTGGGTCTAATGCAGTTCCTTGCGGTACTTCTTTGTTTTTAACAACCATAACCTTCACGCTTTTAACTACTTGTGTCATTTAATGCGTCAATTCATGCCAATGAAGTTTTTCATGGTTTAAATGTTTTAAACCACAAGAAAATATAAAAATGTTGACTATACGAATACATTTTGTTTTTTTTCACTCACCTTGGTGATGCGGTAACGTCGCCGCCGTCTTGTTGCCACTCAGATAATCGTCTTTGCAAATAAATTTGTTATCATCTAAAACATACAGTTCTTCGCCAGTCGACAGTTGCTTTCGACAAACTAAACACGTGAAACAATTCAAATGAAACACTTTGTCCCGCGCTTTTCGCACTAAGTCACTCGGTGATATGCCCTGTCCACAGCCGCCGCACTTTGTACCGTATCTCCTGCAAAAAAAATTATGTGTGAAAAATCCTTCAAAATGATATATAACACTTTAAATTTGGTTGATAAATAAGGGAGATATCAATAAAAACAAAAAATAACATAGCTGGCCATGAGAAAAGTGTTTTTTGGGTGCAGCGCTTTTGTTTTTGATGTAAAGTATGTGGAGTTACCACTTAAATGAAAGGTAATCACATTTTCTATCAAATTAACCCAAAAAATTCTCACAAAAATATGTTTCCCAAGCAATTAAAATAATTGAATTCATAATAACAAAAATTACTCTTATTAAATAAAACATAAAAGAATGAAATGAAAAATTCATGGGCGCACACTTGGAGAATGTTAAACACAAAGTCAGAATTCCCCCCTAATTTCCGTTGAACTTAAGATAATTGTTATGATATTATAGCTATCTAGGGAGGCTGGCTACGCAAACGATTACCATAAATGAAAAGAGTCGTTTTATCTTTAAACGCCAGCCATACACACTACAGCTTATAAAAAAGGTTAGGGTGCATATTTTATCGATTTTTGGGTAAATATTTACTTGAAATATCGAACTGTATTTTGTGGAGGATTTTATAACCTTTCATTTGATGTGTTACTCGGTATATGTTGTATCAAAAACAAGTTGTTTATGGAAGAAAAACACACTAGATAAAAACGTTTTTTGTTGATTTAAGGGTTATTTTACAAGTAATACATAAATGTGATACTTCATTTTAAAGGGATTTTAATTTACTATTAGTTAAAATAAATAAATAAGTTGGGGTAAATTTATATTTTATCGATTTTTGAGTAGATATTTACTTAAAATATTGAAACACACTGTATGTTGTGGATAATTTCATTTGATGTGTTACTTGGTAAGGTAAATGTCCCAAATTCAGACACATTAAGAATAACTTGTCAGTTTTTATGAAATAAAATTTTAAAATTAAACTTTATCGTTATGTTTTTGTATCCTTAATGTATTTTGGGGATTTTGATATTATGTTTAATTAGTTGTAATAGTTAAATTTGAAAAAAACATTAAAAAAAATAAAAAAATAAAATCTTTGAAAAGGAACGTAAATCCGACACGACAAAAGAAATATTGCCTATAATTCAGACATAGCCATGATCATTATTCAGACAATGACTTTAATTACGTCAATTAATGAACGTAATTCCGACATTTTATTAATAAAATCAAACTTAAACTAAAATAAGTTCTGTCATGACATTTATTAAAAAAAAAACATGAAACGAAGTATAAAATAGAACACATAAACATTAACAAAGGTAAAATAATACTTATGTCTAGAAAAATAGGTACAATAAATCTTTGATAAATGAAGATCTTTTAAACATTTGCATCACTCTCATTACAATCTATATATTTTTGTAACTCTTCAACAAAATAAAATCCTCGTTTATTGATTTCGCGAGGTGTTTGGATTTTTTGTACTATTTCCTGGTAATCATATTCGATCTCATCTTTGCTTTTGGCCATTTCCAGCTATCTCCTTCTGCTTTAGCCATTGCATTAACTACAACTATTTGGTCTTTTTTATCAGTAACTCCGGGGTACAACTCATTTTCAAAATTAACGATCACGTAATCTTTAATGTTGTATTCATCATCTTTTGCTTTCTCACTGCTCTTTTCTTCTTTTTTATCTTTTTGATTTGTATTTTTTTTTCTTCTTGGCTGATTTGGCTTGATTTTGTTGACTTAGATGTAAAGTTTTGTTTTCTTCTCGTTTTCTTTTACGATTTTCTTTTTCTTCTTCTAGTTTTTTTCTGTCGTTCTTCTTTATTGATATGGTACTCCCTCCAGGCATCCGATGTTCCAACTGAAGGCAACTTTACTTTTTTTTAACAGTGTTCTTTTTACTTGTAGCTGGATCTGGCCAAAAAAGGGACTTTTTAAAAGGAGTAGGTATAGATACTCCTGGAGGAATATTTGTAAACCTTTCGTTTTTTCCTCATTTGTATCTCTTGAAACCAGTTTTTTATTTTTTCTGCAGTGATAGATGCACGGGCTGTTGACAAATTTTAGGTTAATCGTTCACTAATGAGTGGATGTCTTTTAAGAAATCCCTCAATCCAATGACGACCAGGTCTTCCATCTGAAAATTTGTTGGGACGTTTTAATTGCTTAACTAATAGAGCAACGCTATCCAGTAGTTGGTCTTTGGTAACAGGAAAACCCTTTACACCCATATTTACTATCCATTGCTCCAGAAGATCTTCTTCATCTGATGGTAAAATTGTTGATGCTCCACTTTTGCAGTCTTCTGGATAAATGCCCTTAATTTTTCCGATTAAAGTTGTTCTGGGAACTTTAAATTCTTTAGCTAAGTTGCAAAATGTACCCCTTGTTTTACAGCATCTAAGGCTCGACGAAGGTTTTCTTTTTAGTATGTGCAGTACTTCCTTATATTTATATTGTGTATTGTGTTATATTGTATATTGGTATCATCGAGAAAGCTATGTTATTATAATAAATAAAAATAAGGAATATATAAATGTTTATTATTAAAAAACAAGTAAAAGTTTAAAAAGCAAACCGGTTACACCTAATCAATAAATCTTATGGAGAATTGAATGGAATACATGTTGCCCTAATTCAGACATAAGATGCCCATTAATTCGACACCACTGTCTGATATATGTCCACAGCTTAAAAACAAAACGTTAAATGTGGAAAAGGATAAAAAACACGTTAATATTAAAAAAAAAAGAGTTGGCACTATATTTTGTCTCTTCTGAATTTGTACATAATTTCGACAACTATGTCTGATTTAGGACACTATTTAATTTTTAAGTACATAAATCAGACAGCTTAAAATATCTAACATCTTTTACCAAATGTCTATATTTTAATAATTAATCCAAAATTTAACACTAATTATACCTACATATTTTATGGGTAACCATTTTTTTAATAAAACTTATGAATAAACTTAAATTAAATATGAACGAAAATTGTCCCACCTTATAAGAAAAAAAAACAGTATATTGTCTACCGGCAATGGCACTAACAAGTGTTCATTTTAGGTTAGAATTAAGCGTCACTATTGTCGATAAAGAGGCAACCTGTGGTAAAGTATTTTAATTGCATTTTTCTTTGTAAAATGGTTATTTGACAATACGGTTTTTATTTGCAGATTTCTTATTAGAAATGTTTTTTTAAAACTCTGACGGATTTATGGACACTGTCTGATTTTGGGGTATTTACCTTATATTTTGTTTTAAAAACAAGCAAGCTATGGAAAAAAACACATTTTTCAACGCGAACTAGATTAAAATGTTTTTGTTGATTTAAGGATTATTTAACAAGTAATATATAATTGTGATACGTCATTTTAAAGGGATTTTAATTTACTATTAGTTAAAATTAATAAATAAGTTGGGGTGAATAGGTATTTTATCGATTTTTGAGTAAATATTTACTTGAAATATTGAAACACACTGTATGTTGTGGATAATTTTATAAGCTTTCATTTGATGTGTTACTCGGTATATTTTTTATTAAAAACAATCTAGCCATAGAAGAAAAACACATTTTCCAACGCACACTAGATAAAAATGTGTTTTGTTGATTTAAGGGTTATTTATTAAGTAATATATAATTGGGATACGTTATTTTAAAGGGATTTTAATTTACTATTAGTTAAAATTATTAAACAATAAATATTACAAAGTTTATCACACATAAATCGTGAAATTCATTTTCTATAAATGCTTATCTACTTTATTAATATTGTACTGTCGTTTAAATGACATGTTTATTAAAACTAAATTAATATTATCGACACTTATAACATCTTTACGATTTTTCATTATAATTCCAAAGATAACATAAAACCCTTTTATACAAATAATTATTATATTATTAAGATTTACGGCATAAAAAAATGTACAGTTCGCCTGCAATCAAAATTCTTTTTCTTGGAATTAAATAAATAGCTTTTCATTTTTTATAAAGCAATCATAGTAGACTTTGATTAATGGAGCAATGCATTAGCACCAACCCAAAAAAAAAATAATACGGCCTTATACATATATTAGTAACGCTTCTATAGTATAATGTCTTCTTACTTTCCCATGGGTTTGTTAATAATAAACAAATATTAAAAATTGTATGATTTTTGTCTGCAAAATACTGAAACAATTTCTATATTAAATATTGATTGGGTTTACCGTGAAACCACTGTCTTTTGTTTTTAAACGTCAAATCCAAAAATTACACGGCCATTACTACTTTTAAGATATAAACAAGAATCGAAATCGTTTCTAAACCTATTGTAAATAAAATCTTTTATGAATACAAAAATACAAACAAATAGAAACCACTTTTGTTTTTTTTTGACGATACTGAGGTTACTTGTTTATTGTAGTAAAGAAACTTTTTTAACAGCCTTGAGTAACGGTTTTACGGTTCTGTAATTGTCGATAAAAATTGGTACAATGAGTAGTGAACACCGTGACATTTGCTTGTTAAAGGTAACAAGCTAAACGGCAAACTATATTTTGACATAATTTGTAGACAATTTAATTCCCTCTACGATAATATATCACATGCTATAGGGTTTGTTGGCAAAATAAGAGAAAAAGTTGAAAAAAACGAATTTATCCCAGGTGGTTTTGGAAATGATTTTTTGGCTATATCTCGATTGTTTTCTATCAGAAGTATGGGTTGTTGGTATTCATCTTAAAGAGAATTTTGATTTCTATAGTATACTATACTAGTATTTCTATAGTATACTTAGAAAAAATGCTACGTTATCCAAGATAAATTAGTTTTTTTAATTAATTTTCTATATATATTATAATTTGTTGGAATCAGTAAGATTTTATATTTAACCATTTGCACCATATTGTCAAGAAAAGAGTTAAAATTTGTTGTTAAAAATAAATGTTACTCTTTTGTACAATTTATAAATAATTCGTATAAATATACACTCACTTGCAAAATAATCGATCCACACAAATTTTCGATGAATTTCAATCGCAAATAACTTTTTTATTTGATTTTGGATTTAAACAAATATTAAAGAATATTGTAAATACATTAATGGAGAATCGCTCACATTTTAAAAATTACTAAAATATACACGTACGTTTATAATATACAGGTTTAAACAAAAAGTTGTTTATCAAGTCACATCTATTTTTAACAGTTTTTTTTGGTTCACCTTGATATATTTATTTTTGTGGAAAATATGGTTTTTTTTTTTAAACATTGCAATTTCCAATATTTTCCTGTATGAAGAACTAAGGTTGCTATGGTCCATCCATAGCCTATGGAGGATGACAGTGACAGTTTTGTTGAATCATCCCATACTTGGACATGTCAAATACAGCTTTCAAAAGGTATCAAATTGTTTTTTGTAAATTAATGAGTTAATTTTGAGGTGTCTTCTTACTTTTAAAAATGTCTCCGATTGATGTTGCCCTTTGTACTTTACTTCTTGTGACGTTTAAAACACTTGCCCCGTAATACTGTGACCGTCCATCCTGGATTAAATTAATGGCTCTGGCAACATCAGTCGGAGACATATCCATTTTTAAAGTAAGAAGACACCTCAAAATTTAAACATTAATTTGCAAAAAACAATTTGATAGCTTTTAAAAGCCGTGTATGACATGTCCAAGTATGGGATGATTCAACAAAACTGTTATTCTCCATAGCCTATGGATGGACCATAGCAATCTTAGGTGTTCATAAAGAAAAATATTGGAAATTGCAATGTTTTTTTTTAAAAATCCATAATTTTCACAAAAATAAATATATCAAGGTGAACCAAAAACAAAACTGTTAAAAATAGATTTAGAACAATATACGGTTTTGCCACTCTACAGAGTGTCTGAAACTTATGGTAAAAAACATATTTTTGTTTAAACCTGTATATTATAAACGTACGTCTATTTTAAAGTAATTTTTTAAAATGTAAGCGATTGTCCATTAATTTATCTACAATATTCTTTAATATTCGTTTAAATCCGACATCAAATAAAAAAGTTATTTGCGATTGAAATTCATCGAAAATTTGTGTGGATCGATTATTTTGCCTGTGAGTGTATTAAGTTTAGGTATTCTATTTTCCATATTGTTTGTATAAGTCGCTGAATATATAGGTATCTAAATTATTAATTTAGTTTCATTATCCTTTTTACCACCCTCGCATCACAAAAATTATTAAAATTTTTAAATAAATTGCAGAAATTATTATTACAGAATGTTGTGTTATTATGTGCCACAATTTGTGCAATTTCACCACAAAAGATTATATTAAAAAAAGTCTCTAAAATACTCATTTACTGTAACTCGTTTATAAAATTTTCTAGGAACGCATTTAATTAAGCACTCGCTCGCAAGCTTGCTTGTGACTAAAATGGCGTTTATCAAACTTGATACATAATATACTATTTTATAAAATTTTATGCTTAATCCAATAATAATGTCAAACATGTAAAATTATGTAAATTGAATGTAAAGCCCGCATTATTATAGTAGTAAATCGTTTAATTAAGAAATATAGTCATCAAATCCGCACTGTATAATTATAATTAAATGAAATGGTTTTAGAGGTTCCCCAAGTAGCTGAACAGTTAATCTGGAATCGTAAATACACGAATTCAGCAAATTACAACTTCACTCGATGATTATAGTCTTTGAAAAATCAAATGGTCTTAGGCAGTTTTAACGGTTAACAAGCTAAGTTCTGTGCGCGTCAAGTTCCAAGTCGTAAAAATCGGTGGTAACCTCAGCACCGTAACAAATCAGGCATTCTGATACACCACAAAAATTTATTATTACCATTTTTACGACGCGAGTTTTTTTTTTTAGTTTACGTCGAACTGCGGCCAAATTATTTGAGATCCTTTTGAATTTTTATTGACCGATATTATTTACGAGGCAAAATTTTTGCGGCGACTTTTTTAGAGCGCATTTTTTACATCGTTAAATCCCCTATACAACCATGTATCACATGTCAGGGTTTACTTGGAATTAAATCCCGGTCAAAGGTGGCCATGCGAGTTTTTTTAGGCTGCAACTTTTTTGTTTTTTGTGTAAGGTATGGCATGTTTGGGCTCGTTTAAAAGAGGATTTAAAGCTCTATAAAGTCGGAATCGAGGTAAAAAAATTTTTTTGAAAATTAATATTTTTTTATTATTTTATATGTCCACCTTAAAAAGCTTTAAATTCTCTTTTTAATGATATATAATAAGTCATATTTTCCTTAAAAATAAAGCTGTAATCACAAAAAAACATTTTTAACAGCAGTAGGCCATGATATTGTTTTTCGTCGATATCTTCCTTATTATTGGTCCAAAATAGGTCATGTGACCCATCATTTTGACGGAAATTAAATTTTCTATTAATTTAATTTAAAATTTGTGTATGTTTACCTGAAAAAATCACTTCGACAGAAGCATTTTTCCGTCAGGAAGGCTCCTTTAAAAGAGGATTTAAAGCTCTATAAAGTCGGAATCGAAGTAAAAATTTTTTTTGAAAATCTATATTTTTTATTATTTTATTTGTCCACCTTAAATGGCTTTAAATTCTCTTTTTAATGATATATAATAAGTCATATTTTCCTTAAAAACAAAGCCAGAATCACAAAAAACATTAAATAACAGCAGTAGGCCATGATATTGTTTTTCGTCGATATCTTCCTTACTATTGGTCCAAAATAGGTCATGTGACCCATCATTTTGACGGAAATTCAATTTTCTATTAATATAACTAAACATTTACCTGAAAAAATCACTTCGACAAAACAGTTTTCCTTCCCGACTGAAGCACTTTTCCGTCAGGGAGGCTTGGCAGTCGAAACAGCGTACGCAGTTGGCGTGCCACGTCCGTTCCAGGACGTTCAGCAGGAATTTGTCCAGGATCGGTTTTTCGCAACCCGCGCAAGGTATAAGCATACCTGCTGTAGGCTCGCAGCGACCTAAAACAAATGAAGATTTCAATTTCCCTTCAATCGGTGTATACCATGTCATATTTGGAGTATCAGGAGGCCGGGGATATGAGGAAACGTATTTTATGCTGAGTAGGCCGTGGAATTTGACGTTTTGGCTTGAATCTCAGTTCCCATTGGTCCAAATGGTACCGTGTTGGGTGTCAAATGAGAGGATTTTTAATTTTGCATGCATTGGTATTAAAGTGAAAAGTGTAACAAACCTTACAAGTCTATAGCATGAGAAAGTTGTAAAAAACTTTGGCGGCAAAACGTGGTGTGTGTGAAAAAAGTTTACAATTACGGGCTCGTGAAAAAGTAACTGATTCTCTCTACATGTTTGTGCCCGTGTATAACTCGCAAAATTAAGATTTTCAGTGTTCATCTCAACATGAGACGTTTATGGAAGATCGTAAAACACTGGCGAAGGTTTACGACTTGACGTTTTATTTTACAAGCGCGGTTTTTATGAGAATCTTACTCTTCACATTTTACCTCCAATATTAAATATTATATTCATTAGATACGACGTGGAAAACGCTTCAAAATGATGTATCACATGCGCCATTTGGACAAATACTAACTAAGTTATGACGAAAATACGATTTAATCTGGTAAGCCTTGATTTTTTATGTTTTTTGCTATAACTGGTGTTCTATTGGTTTAATATGTGCCTTGTGACCCCTCGTTTGAAAGGGAATTAAATTTCACATCCATTTAGCGGATAAAATTTTATATAAGAAAGCGCTGAAAGCCGTATCAATTACTCATAGTACCTAATCGATGTGCAGTACCTAATGTATGTGCAGTCACACACCAAAGCAATAAATAAACCTGTTGTATTGTTTTGGTGTCATCAATAGGAAGTCGACTTATTGACCCATTTGCCATAAAATTTATTAAAAAATGTGATATAAGGGTTAATGTGGCTTTGAGCTTTACGGTGTTAACATAAACAATCTTTTAAAGTTTGTTCATTGTGACATTTAAAAGCAGATTGTCAGTCCAGGAATACTTAAAAACGTGACCTCATCGAAAAGCTATTTTTAAACTTGGTTTATTTTTAGAATTTAGGAATTTTTTTGTTAAGGTTTATGAAAAAATTGGTAAAATAAAAATCGTTAACCAAGGAATACTTAAAAATGTATCCTAATTAATAGGGTTGAATATAAGTTAAAATGTGGAAATGCTATAGCATTATTATAATTATTATAATCGGGAAAAACGAAGTTTTGAAAATTTAGGAAAAATTTTGTTTGAGGGTTATGAAAACATGTGTAAAAATGAAGATCATCAACCAAGAAATACTTAAAAACGTATTATAATTAATATTATTGCTTATGTAAGTAAACATGTGGAAATGCTATATCGGGAAAAACGAAATTTTGAAAATGTATGAAAGATTTTGGTTGAGCTTTATAAAAAAATGTGTAAAAATAAAAATAGGAATACTTAAAAATGTATTATAATTAATATATTTAAGTAAAAATGTCCAAATAATATATCGGAACGAAATTTTGAAAATCTACGATAAATTTTGTTTGAAGGTTATGAAAACATGACACATTGTGTAAAAATGAAGATCGTCAACCAAGAAATACTTAATTAATAGTATTGATACATATTTCCACATGTTTACTTACATGTAAGTAAACATGTGGAAATGCTATATCGGGAAGAACGAAATTTTGAAAATCTAGGACAAATTTTGTTTGAGGGTTATAAAAGCATATGTAAAAATGAAGATCATCAACCAAGAAATACTTAAAAACTTATTATAATTAATAGTATTGCTTATGTAAGTAAACATGTGGAAATGCTATATCGGAAAGAACGAAATTTTGAATATGTATGAAAGATTTTTGTTGAGCTTTATAAAAAATGTGTAAAAATAAAAATTGTCAACCAAGGAATACTTAAAAACTTATTCTAATTAATGGTATAGAATATACCTATGCAAGTAAAAATGTCGAAATGATATATCGGAAAGAACGAAATTTTGAAAATCTAGGAAAAATTTTGTTTGAAGATTATGAAAACATCTGTAAAAATGAAGATCGTCAATCAAGAAATACTTAATTAATAGTAATGCATATGTAAGTAAACATGTGGAAATGCTATATCGAGAAGAACGAAATTTTGAAAATCTAGGACAAATTTTGTTTGAGGGTTATGAAATCATATGTAAAAATGAAGATCATCAACCAAGAAATACTTAAAAACTTATTATAATTAATAGTTTTGCTTACGTAAGTAAACATGTGGAAATGCTATATCGGGAAGAAGGAAATTTTTAAAATATATGAAAGATTTTGGTTGAGCTTTATAAAAAAATGTGTAAAAATAAAAATCGTCAACCAAGGAATACTTAAAAACTTATTCTAATTAATGGTATTGAATAAACATAATTTGTAAGTAAAAAATATCGAAATGATATATCGGAAAGAACGAAATTGTGAAAATATAGGAAACATTTTGTTTGAAGGTTATGAAAACATGTGTAAAAATGAAGATCGTTAACCAAGAAATACTTAATTAATAGCATTGCATATTTAAGTAAACATGTGGAAATGCCATATCGGAAAGAACGAAATTTTGAAAATCTAGGACAAATTTTGTTTGAAGGTTATAAAATCATGTGTAAAAATGAAGATCATTAACCAAGAAATACTTAAAAACTTATTATAATTAATAGTTTTGCTTATGTAAGTAAACATGTGGAAATGCTATATCGGAAAGAACGAAATTTTGAAAATGTATGAAAGATTTTGGTTGAGCTTTATAAAAAAATGTGCAAAAATAAAAATCGTCAACCAAGGAATACTTAAAAACTTATTCTAATTAATGGTGTTGAATATACATATGTAAGTAAAAATATCGAAATGATATATCGGAAAGAACGAAATTTTGAAAATCTAGGAAAAATTTTTTTTGAAGGTTATGGAAACATGTGTAAAAATGAAGATCGTAAACCAAGAAATACTTAATTAATAGTATTGCATATGTATGTAAAAATGTCGAAATGATATATCGGAAAGAACGAAATTTTGAAAATCTAGGAAAAATTTTGTTTGAAGGTTATAAAAACATGTGTAACGTGTAAAAATGAAGATTGTCAACCAAGAATAAATTAAAAACCTATTATAATGGATAATTAAATATCGGGAAGAACGAAATTTTGAAAATTTAGGAAAGATCGTCAATCAAGGATATATCCAAGTAAAAAATATAAAACGCCATATCGGAACGAACGAAATTTTGAGAATTAAGAAAAAAAATTTAAGGCTTAAGAAAAACTGTTAAAACGAAAATCGTAAATACTAGGAATACTTAAACACTTATATTAATTACATTCATACATACATTATACGTAGGTATGTATATTTCTCTACGACTACTTAAGAATAGTAACATTCTAGTGTAATTTTTGATCATAGAAAGGATGTTTTTCTGCAATACTGTGCGAGAATATTCCTACTCTTGGTTAAGAATGGTCACAAGTAACGACATCTCCTGGCTGTTAACTAAACGTAAAAAATTTAAAAATATTTAAATATTACTGTATTATTTATTAATTAAAAAATAATAGCAGTTGTATAATTAAGGTTTAGGCACAAAAAATTAGTTATATTTATTGTTTTTCAAATATACAAATCAAAATTATAATAAATTTGATATTAAAATTATAAACCAGTTACCTACTATACCGGCTTTGAAGTTTTGACAGATTCAAAAAGTTTATAAAAAGACCTTTAAAATTTAGAAAAAGAATAGATGTTGACATAGATTACTTGTAAAATTAGTTTTGTATTTGTTACAATGTTATTTTTTTTATTAGTTAGTGTAAATAACTATTTTTAATTATAATAAAGATTTAGGCATACCATTTTTTTAAATTTATTATAATTTACATTATAAAATTGTGACAGCACAAAATGGTTTGACAATACAAAAAACTTAAATGTCAAAAACTGCTTGGTTTCTTTTCACTGTTTAAAATTATATAAGCGTTACTATTCTTACGTAGTCGTAGAGAAAATAATGTCTGAAACACGTTTGGAATAGCATATTCCACTCTCGTAAAACCGTCACACTCGCCTTCGGCTCGTGTGTCAAATTTTTCCTCGAGCGGAATATGCTGTATTCCAAACTTGTTACAGAATGTACTATTATAAATTCCTATATTTTTACACAATATTATTTATAATTATTGCAAAATAACACAAAAATATACATATTAAACTGTACCCATTATTTAAAAAATTACTTATTGTTATTCAAGCATAAAAACGCGAATTTTTTACATTTCAAAAGATGCCGACCAAAATTTGTTAATTATTTTTCCATGTGGAAAGAGATTTAATGTAATTTTTAATCTTCATCAGTGATGTTGTGTGCTGTTAAATAATTTTAAGGATTTAAAATTATGTTTTTTCATATTTTTAATGTTTCGCTTTTGAGCTTTTCATTTGACATCCTCTACACCCGATTGTTTATTGTACTATACACATTTATTTATTTATATTTATTTTTGTGGTTAAGTGCCCACATAAAAAATTTGAAGACACTCGATTCTCCCTCCATCTAGCCCATTACGTGGAGTTTTATTGCCGCGTGCAGTATATCTTACTGACATTGACGGTTGTAAACAATTTCAACTATAAATTTTAGTTTATGAGAGCACTAAAAGTCGCACTACAAAATTTAGTCGAAAAAAACACGTTAAAATGTTTAAGTGCGGCTTAAGTTGCGCAATGAGGCTAGTTATTTTCGGTAATTATTATAAAGAACGCAATTCCCTTCAATTTGATGTGTCATTTGTTATATTTCGACCAATAATGGGGCTATTAAACGAAAAAAACTATTTTCGCAAAGTAGGCCTTGTATTTGACATTTCTTGTTATATCTCACGTCCTATTTGTTTAAAGTATGGGTTGTTGGGTATCAAATGATAGATAATTTAAAATGTAAACTATACAGGGTGTAATATATAACAAATCAAAGCCTATTTGTATGCACCACTTATAATACCGAATTAAAATAATAAAATTATGCGGCATGTTTAATTTAAATCAGTTGTTTGTGGACATATTGCATTACAAAAGAATAAATTATCATGTAGCATTTAATAGAGGCACGCGTAGGCGATATACAGCGTGTCAATATTTTTTTATTTAAATGATTTAAAATTTGTTTAAGGTTTAAGTTTCTTAATCATGTCTTTAACAAACATTGAAGGTTTGTGAGCAAAATTTAACCATTTAAGCCCCTTAAAATTGGATTTTGAAACCTATAATTTAGGAAATAGCATGCATTAAGACTTCTTATACCTCAACCTACTCATAAAATTTTACATCCTGTAGTAAAAAAGAACATTTGGTTGGTGCTAGCAACGTTACTTAATTTAATTTTTGTAATGCCATTTTTTCATTTTTTATGGATAATAAAATTTGCCATAGGTAGATTAAAAAGTAAGCATATTTAGATACAATGAAAATATGTCTTTTTATTGTTTTTGACCATATTTATACCTGCATACTGTGGCACCTAGTTAAGCTTACACAAAGTCTGTTTTTATTAAGGAACAAAAATAACGTCCCCAAAATTTATTTGTTTATTATAATATAACCAAAAGATATTGTTTAAATAAAAAATAATTTCCATTAAAAATATTTATAAACTTTTACCGTCGGGCAAAACACCTGTGTAAAATCTCAATTCACGATACTATAAAGTCATTCAAATTAAATTTAAAACCCATATATAATATATAAAATATTATTACATTAATAATAAAGTGGGTAAGTACTTACTTATAATAAAAAATAAATTTACGATTTTTTAATATTCAATTTTATATAGCGTTTTAAAGCCATTTTTTAATTTCAAGAAAATTATTATTATATTTATTTAAAAAAGAATACCCTTATCACTAATAAATAAACAATTCGTTTTGCTATCATTTTATTGCGAAAATTTCGAACATTTTTTTTTAATTAACTATATCAAAATAATGTCAAAAACAATTGGTCGTAAACAAATAACAATATTGAATTTAAATTAAAGAAATTGCAATAAAAAATGAAAATTTAATTTTGCTAAGTAATTTTATATACATATAAGGGACAAGGTCAAAATATATATGCCTGTTATTTTTTTATAATAAGGCCAATACAAAAAATAAGAACTAAATTTAACATTTAAACACTTTTTTCGAGTTTATAAATAACAAAATATAATTTTTCCCAAATTGTCCTTTTATTTCTATTTTTCTGGGAAAACCCGTTTTTTGGCAATCAGTTTATTCGAAAATTTTAAACCTCTATACCTGTAGGCACTTTCAAAATCATGGTGTAGATATAGGCTATATATAGGCTATATCCTAAATATTTATACGCTTTGATTTTTGCAGGACCAATTTTTACTTCCATGAGTCAGGAGAGATTGTATATGGACTTGAAATTTTGTCAATTGAGAACACTTTTGCTTTACGTAGGTACCATATACCCACTAAGTAGGTACCATATACCCACTAAGTATACTTTCCTAAGCAAAATAAATAAATTGTTTCACTTAAATTTTTCATTTCTCTCTCACTTTACTTTGAAAAAATAGGGGGGGCACTTGCACCTTTCCCCCCTTAGATATTGTGTAGATCCAAGCACTCACGCACAAAAAATTTTAAAAATCACAAATGTTTCAAAAATATTATCTACTTAGGAATACCTAAAATAATTGAAAAAGCTTTATCGAAACGAATAAAATTTTGAAAATTAAGGAATAATTTTTGTTAAGGTTAATGAAAAATTGGTTTTAAATGAAGATCGTCAACAAAGGAATACTTTAAAACCTATTATAATCGATAGTATAGCATATTCGTTAAAAAAAAACTTAAAAACGATATTGAAAATTTAGGAAAAAATTTAATTGAGGTTAATGAAAAATGGTGTTAAAATTGCAGTCCCATGCAATGGTGAACCAAGGAATACTAAATACTTAAATACTCTAAAAATACTTAATACTTAAATACTAAAAACGAATTAGTCAAAAAATTACTAATTTATTAGTTATTAGTGGCTGCTTTTTCACTTGTACCATGGTTAACCATGGTATACCATGGTATCCCAAAATTTAACATGTAAAATATGTAAAATTTTCCCCTGAATCCGAAAATGTCGTCAAAAGTTAAAAAAAAGTAGAACCGTTTTTGAGATATAGTCAATTTTTCATTTAATATGGAATTGACTATATCTCAAAAAATGCTCCACTTTCATAGTTTTTGACGGTATTTTCGGATTCAGGGTACAATTTTACATAAGAATTGGCTGTTAAATTTTGTGATATCATGGTATGCCAAGTGAAAAAGCAGCCACTAATAACTATTAAATTATAATTTATGACTATAGTCATTTTTGACTAATTCATTTTTAGAGAGGACTTAACAAAGTACCCTAAAAATTGAAAAAGCTACATCGGAACGAATGAAATTTTGAAAATTAAGGAATAATTTTTGTTAAAGTTTAGGAAAAATTTGTTTCAAATGAAGATAGTTAACCAAGGAATACTTCAAAACCTATTTTAATCGATAATATGGCATATTCATTAAAAAATTTGGAAAACTATGTTGAAAATTTAGGAAAAATTGTAATTGAGGTTAATGAAAACTCTGTTAAAATTGCAATCCCATGAGAAATATGTAGAAAAATATTAAATTTAAAAACTATTCAAATTAATTTAAACAAAAAAATTGTTAATCACACTACAAGCATTTGGACAAAACCTGACAAATATACCTAAACAATTTTGCAAACGAAAAGTTTTTACAGGTAGGTTTAAGAAAAAAATATTGCTATAGCAACCTATAGGTTCATGTTAAAGATATTAAATTTTAGATTTAGATACTTTTGTTTTTATTACAGTACTTTCTATGATATTTATCCTTTTTCGTTATTAAAGTAGATTTTTTGTACCTATTTAAATCAAAATTTTACAGATGTTGTTTGAATCATTCTTCTAATAAATACATTTTCCAAAAAAATGGTTTTGTTTGATAGCTCCCCAAGTGTCTAAATTTTTTATTTGCGTAAAAACTGTTTTTCCTAATTTAAATTTTACCTATATTGTGTGTAGAATGTTGCAAGTAGCTAGAGTTAGAGCCCAGGGGCACATGAGCCAGCCCGGCCCTTAAAGTCAGGGGTGAAATGGCAGGCGTATCCAGAAAGGCCGCCAGTGTGATGGCTTAAAAACACCACTCTCACTCACAAAATCACAAAATGTTACGAAAAAACGCGTAAAAATCCAACTCGCACTCTTTTCACCCTTTATTTGTTGTTTATGTGTGGTTTTCGCTGGCTCTGCGTCTACTTGCGTGTAGCACGACGTTTTTCAACAAACTACCTAATGTTAGAACTCGCTCGCTACCCCCCTACAATCGATTTACCCCCTCCGCGACGCGAAACACTCTCGCGACCAATGGCAACGCTCGGCCACGCCCCTCGAGTCCGCCACGCCCTCTGCATGGTAGCCATCAGGTGATCGTTATCGTTGTGGATGTTCTTATGTTTTGTCTCGTCGCAGACTACTTCGATTCTCGTTTTTTGCCACCGAAAAACAATATTTTTTTCCTCGAGAAATTAAGTTTTTTGGAAAAATGTTCCGCAAGGTTCTGTTTTGGGACCCTCTTCGTCAATATTGTTGATTAATGATGCTAAAATGTTAAATTCCATTATTTATGTTTCTCATAATTTTCCTAATTGTATTTATAGTGCGTTTTTGGAAAAAACATATTCCGCAGGGTTCTATCTTGTAGCCGTCATTGTTAAGATTCTTAAATTATGATTTCCAAGTTTAAAATGCTCAAAAAACATTTAATTTCACAAATTTAAATTTATTTGCAAAAAAAATGTTCCTCAGGGTTCCAGTTAGTAGCCACGCTCGTGAGATTGTAAATTATTGATGACAGTTTATGAACCGTATACGGACAATGACAGTATACTGTCATTGTCAACTTTACAAGATTTTTTCCTGTTCTTTTTCTTGAATAGAAATTAAATACGCCGGTTTCAATATTAAAATACAATGGTGGTTTGTTTTGCGTTTGTTTGTAAAAGTTAAATAGGGACTCTTCCATTTTCTAAGTATTTTTCAAACATATTACAATCCTCACTAAAGTCAATATATAGATATCTAACAGAAATGCTATAACAAAATGTAATTTTAATTTTTAACACTATTCCTTAAGTGCCTTAAATATACATTGACAAGTTGTGGCTTTATGACGCTTTAGTCACGGGCTGAAGTTAGCAACAGGTTTTTAGTCACGGGCTAATAGTTATTTTAATATTTTAGAGTATCAATAATTGTTAAGTTTAATTAAAATAATAACGGGCAATGTTAATGGTCAGTTATATAACTACTTTATACTTTTCACATTAATTCCTAATGAAACCATTGCTTAAACATTATGCACTTAGGCCTATTCAAGGTAACAGTAATTTATAAATTTACAATGGATGAAACAAAAATAAGAAATCTCACCAAATGACACAATTCTATAATACCTACCTAATTTCGAAACAAAAAAATTATTAGGCTAATAACTTAATACATAAAAATGAAGAATTATCTTTTTTAATAAAGCTTATATTTTAATTTCGTCAATTTTAATTGCCAATTTGGATATCTTTCTTAATTTATTTAATGGGAATAATTATAACATTAAATAAATTATTTATACCTACTTTGTGGAAAAACGTTCATTAAAAAATGTGTAATTATTATAATTAGGGATTTTTTGTCAATAAGTCGGTAGATTTATTGAGAAGTTTGTAATGTAAAATGATAGGTTAATGTTAATTTGTTGATTTATTGTTTTTAATAAATCATTAATTTAACTGCTTTTTTATTTTTATTATGTTAATATATAGTAATTAAGGTATTAATGAACTCATATCCACACAGTGGCTAGAACCCTAGAGAAGAATTTTACTTATTGCTATAACTTTGGAATATGTTACTCAAATCTTAAGCACTAATTACTTTATTTGTAAAACCAGAACGTATTTTGTAATACAGTGTGTATAATAACCATTACTAAAGATTTGACCAACTATTAATATTTCATTGGGTATTGATTGTTAAAGGTGAATAATCCTATGTGGGTGAATCTCACGAAATGTCCCCCGATGGTGTTATCCCATGATATTTAATAAAACTAAATGAGTTTTACCTACACTTTTATTGTGTTTTGATCTTTCATAATTAAGTAGATATTACAGCTCAGTCTCCAGATTTTTAACCGCAATTAATTATTTTTTACAATGTTTTAAAAGTCTAAAACCTATCCTCCGTAAATGTTACTCTTTCTAGGTTAAGCTATATGTTTTCAAATATCTGAAGTAGTAAAAACATACTAAAAATATCAGTTCACAAAGTAAATTAAACACATTCAAAGCAATCGAATCAAATATAAAATATTATTAAAAATTGATTCTATATATCGTCCGTGAATCTGTTTTTGCTTTAAATTTTATGCAACGGATGGCGCTTTAATCATTTTAAATAAGCAAAAACCTCTGTTTACGACATTATAGATGCATGTGATTCCTGAAGGACAGTTAGAATTTATATGCAGATGAGAGTGTTGCTGTTTTATTATTCAAAAGTTTAAGTTAATTAATTTGCTATTTAAAAACCTATCTACCTTGAAGTTTAATATCTCAGTAAGTAGATTTTATGTATGTACAATTGTATTTTAAAAAAATATAAAGGTGTCCAAAGATACAATACCTTTTTCAAATATACCTACAAAAGGATGTTTAAAAAAAAACATACGAAATCCTAACCTCCGTGAAGCTCTAATATTCAAAATGTAGGATTTCTTAAAATTCTTGCATTAGTGCAGAACCACTTATATTATGTTATTACTAGACCTGGTGGCTTCCCAAAAACCCCATTCTAGACTAACAGTGAAACAACCAGAAATAAAAAATAATCATTTTCACTTGGGGGACATCTCAATATATGTATTATGGTGGTTCAGACAGTACATTGCGGGAAAAGGGGTAAGGTGAGTTATTATATTTAAAATATAAACAAAATATATCTAGTAATTTTATTAAATTTGATTTAAAAACAATTTTTTAACTGATTTTATAATTTTTTAAATTAAAAAACTTAAAAATTAGGATTTAAACGAGTTGTTGATAGTTGGTTTCTATAGTAACGCTTTTTGGCAGTGACAGTTCTATATGCAATGTTATTAAAATCCAAAAATGAGTTGTAAAAAAGACTAAAGTCCGTTACAAAAAATATTAAAAAAGGTACAGGAACAAAAAATAAACCAACAGAAAGCAAAGACCAAATAGACCAAAAACCATAGACAAATTATAATAGATATATAACTTAATAAAATGTTGTTTTTTAATAATTACTTTAAAAACGATATTATGGTAGTCACCAAATATATCAAACCAAATATCCCTAGAGGTGTTCGTAATCCGGTGTTGCGGAAATTTCTAGACGAGAATGACAGATTGATAATTTTGGTTGGTCAGTCAAGTTAACAAAAAATTATATGGTACTTCTACAGGCTTAAGTGCATACGAGAAAAAAAATCATTAATTTTTCAATATTGTCATAATATTATGTTATGACACGTGTCATATTATGACAAGTGGCATATAAATTTCACAACACAGTTTACCAATAATAATAAACGAAAACAGACCATGTGGTCTTAGCAACTTTAATAATTTTTTACTTGAAAACCAGTAAATTCATCTACAACCTAGAATTTTTTCAATATTTTCTTATGTCGTGTTCGATTGATATTTTATTTTACAGTAGCGTGTCATAATTAAGTTAACAATTTATTACTTTTTTAATTTAGGACACATAACAATATAAATTTTAAGTTACCTTTATAAAACTGTTTACTTATTATATGTATCAATAAATATGTGGTATTCAATACTAAAAGTTTGAAAATTATTACCAAACACCATTGGAATCAACTTCCCACTACATTTTTCCATGTTTAATCCTGTTAAATTAATTAGCTATTGATTTTATTGTAAATTATGAAATTTATTTATATATTTTTTCCATACTTTTTAGTATTTTTCTAGTAATTTTAAGTTACATGTGTAGAAGACACATTTACATTGTACAACATTTTTATATATTTTTATTTATTTTTCAGGAATAAGGAATAATTCCCAAATAGCACACGTATGCAAATACATGAGTTTGGAAATCATTACTTAACACAATTGCACTCACTTTTAAAATATCAAAGTTGCCCACAATTAAATGGATTTTTTATTAACCATTCCCATAATGTATTGCAAAGTAAAAAATTTGCATTAATTTTAACTTCAATATTTTTGGATATTTATCAAAACATATGACCCCAAATTATTTAAATATCAAAGATATTCATGTTTACATTAAGACTTCGTCACCCTGTGGTATCGACAACCGAATCTGTCAACTCGTTAAAAATTAAAAATTTACACCTCCTACCGTTCAAATTTCTTTATCCCGAACAATGCTAACCGAAAAGCCACATTTTGTTAAGCTTTTCAAAACAGGTAGAAACCTTAACAATGGTTATTGTAATGTGGAACACCCATGCCCGCCCAAGGGGCCCACAAATTACCAATTGCCTAATGATTATAGACGTTTCATAGAAAATATTGTCGAAAATTTTTCGGAAATTGGATAAAACGGATTAAATGTGTAATCTGGTTCTAGAATATTGGCTTAAAATTAATGCAAATTTTAAGGTGCTGGGCTTTGATGTTTCCTAGTTTATATCGATAAATTTTTTGGAAGATAGAATTTTTTTATACAATGTATATAATTTTTCAACTCGTCAAAAGTTGGCAGTCAAAGTTAGGATGACAAAAATTGAAACTGTTTTATGTTTTCTTAAATATCTAGAAGCAGCATTTAAAGTAAAACGTAGAGCTTTAAGGCAATATTACTTAATTTAAGTAAATATTTTGTTAATTTAACCTTAAAAATTTACTTTAAAGTAAAACTTTTTTTAAAGTTATTTAATTAGTTATTTATAATATTTTTACCTATTTTAATAACCCTTAAGTTTCAACACTTTAAGGTATTATGAGGGACGTAATTTTTACGAAAGAAAATTACTTATAAGTGTTTTTCACCTGAAGGAAAATTTAACGGTAATTTAACGTCAGAATTTTTACTTAATGGCAAATGTTACTCATAAGTCATAATTTTACGATATTAAGACCACTTTATATCCGTAAATAACTCCTATTCGCCTGGTATTTTTTAGGGTTATTAGTGGTAATAAATACTATTAATATTGACTAAACAAGAAAAAATAAGCTTAAA